GGATCACCTGAGGTCAGGAGTTTGAGACCATCCTGGCCAACAACCCTGTCTCTACTAAAAATACAAAAATTAGCCAGGTATGGTGGCACACACCTCTAGTCCCAGCTACTCGAGTGGCTGAGACAGGAGAATCGCTTGAACCAGGGAGGCAGAGGTTGCAGTGAGCTGAGACCACACCACCGCACTATAGCCTGGGCAACAGAGCAAGACTATGTCTCAGAAAAAAATAAATAAAAAATAAAAATAAAAGGATATAGCAGAGCTGAAGGGGAGGGTCCCTTTTCCCCGGGGGGACACTGAATGCCTGTGCTGTATGCCTGTGTTTTGACTGAGCCTGTCACATACAGTCAGGTGTGGAATTCTCCACCTGGGGCATCAGGTTGGCACTGAAAAGGTTTTGAATTTTGCAGAATTTTGAATTTTAGATTTTCAGATTAGGGCTGCTCAACCTGTACACACAGGCTTTTATATCCGGTCAGAGATAACACATCCTATAACTTATACATCGTGGCATACTAGAAAGTACAAAGATTCATTCTTCAAAGGGTGACATTCTGGTATGAGATATTAGTGCTTTACGTAAGTCCTCTTCAGAGGCCAGGAAAAAAAACCTATGTATGCAAGAATGGACATGACCATGCTATAAATATGGTAGTTTGGTGGATTTTACAGCCTATTCCCAATCTACTGAAACGGATATTCTGAAAGTGAGACTTCATCCTATTTTCAGAAAAGTCCTCATGTGATTCTGATGTACATCCTGATTAGGAAATGCAGGAAGGGCAGAAGACCAGTCAGGCGAAGAGATAAGCTGGTGCGAATACATCTTTTTTTTTTTGTTTGTTTGAGATGGAGTCTCACTCTGTCGCCCAGGTTGGAGTGCAGTGGTGTGATCTTGGCTCACTGCAATCACCACCTCCTGGGCTCGAGCAATTCTCCCGTCTCAGTCTTGCCTGAGTAGCTGGGATTACAGGTATGTGCCACCACGTCCGGCTAATTTTTGCATTTTTAGTAGAGATGGGGGTTTCACCACCATGTTGGCCAGGCTGGTCTCGAACTCCTGACCTCAAGTGATCCACCTACCTTGGCCTCCCAAAGTGCTGGGATTACAGGAGTGAGCCACTGCGCCTGGCCTCAAATACATGTTTAGACTCATTAGAGTTGAGGGCTATGTTTTGTGTTATAAACTTAATTTGATAGGAAAAAGAGAACCAAACTGTATCACTATACATTGGGTTCCAACCTCTCTGTAGTTTCACAAATAAAAATACATTTGAACATACGGTGCTCTCTAAGACTTGGGCCTTGCCACATTTCTGTATTGGGTTTGGGCCCTACTTATTTCATACATTTAGTTTTCCATATCAAACTCACTTGGCATTTTAAGTGAAGAGTTAGTCTTTCATGGTTGATGGATCATACTGTGCTTAGCTTTCTTACTGCTGGTTTTAATTCAACAGTGCTATCTATCTCTTAGTGTGTTCCCCACAGCTCTCCTACAAAAGGCCTTCTCAAGGGCTTTGCTAGTTTAGTAGACAGATATCATCAAAATTGTTTACTGGCAAGTCCACATATTTGCATCTTGATGATCTATTTCATCACAAGGAAACCATGTACTCTTACTGGATCACTTTGCAAATGGAGTTTTCATACTGATGGATTTGTATCATGTGATCTGGTTACTAAATTTCGTTCTCATTCTGTTGTGCTCCTTTTCATATTTCACTAAGTAAAAAATTTATTTTCACACTATTTTCTTCTGAGAGTTTACCGTATCAAAAGATTACTATGCAAAAATCTGGAAAGTAAAAGAAAAAGGGTTAACCACAGAGCTTTTTTCTCATTGTGCTACAGTTTTCCTTCCGGCTTTTTCTTACACATTATTTGGCAGAGTTTGAAAAGCATATACACACTTTGCTACTTTGTTATCAACGTAGGAAGTTTTCCCGTATTGCTAGGTTGTCTTCAGAATCTGCTTTTTAGACAGCTGCAGAGATTTTACCAAGGCAATACGCTGTAACAATTCATTTCCTACTTTTAAGATATTTAGGTTGCTTTCAGTTTTTCTGTCTTTTAAATTTTGGGTGAACATTTTCTATACATAAATTTAATTCTGAATACTAATTTACTTAATATTTTCTTTTGCTGTTGGGTTTTTGTTTTTTGTTTTTTTTTTTTTGAGGCAGAGTCTCAGTCTGTCACCCAGGCTG